AAATATGATTGTTGGAAAAAGGCCATGCAAGCTGAATTGGAGGCTTTAACCTTGAATAATACTTGGATTTTCATGTCTCTGCCCCCCATAAACATGTTAGTGGTTGCTGATGGATTTATAAAATCAAGTATCATGCAGATGGCAGTACTGGACGTTACAAAGCTCGTCTTGTTGCTAAGGGATACACTCAAATGGAAGGTTTGGATTATATTGCCACTTTCTCCCCTGTGGCAAAACTCACTACAGTCCGACTACTTTTGGCTTTAGCTGCAATTTTAAATTGGCACTTAAAACAGCTGGATGTAAATAATGCTTTTCTTCATGGTGAATTAGATGAAGAAGTCTACATGACTCTACCTCCGGGATGTTAGCAAAAATCAAAGATAAAGTTTTGATGATGAACAAATTTGCACAAGTCAAGATCCATAAAGACAAATTGAAGATCTCTGTATTTTATAAAGCTTTTATAATAATCAAAGTTGATGTAATAGTGCTCAAATATGTATTAGGGTTGATTCTTGTAATTTATATTTGATTTATTTAGTTAATCGATTATTCCTGAGAATAATCAATTAACATTAGCCGTTGGGGGTTTCAGATTTGAAAAACTAGCCGTTGGGGGTTTCAGATTTGAAAAACTAACATTTGTACTCATTATTAATCGATTAATATTTATGTTAATCGATTAAATGCGTTAGATGGCCCGTTTTCGAAGAATGGAAGGGTATTAGGCTGAGTCTATAAAATGGCTCACTCTTTATCTCAAAAATAACTCTTCCCTTGTGCAAAAGATCCCTGAACTCTTTTGAGAACTCTGTGAGATTGTTGAAGCTAAGGAAACTCTTGTCTGCAAAGTCCTGAAGTGCTACTGCGGTGACAGAGGAATAGCTTGTTCATCCTTGGTGTGTCCGAGGGAGTGCGTGGAAGAGAATCATCCTTCGTGAAGCATTCGAAGGAGGTGGTCATCCTTTGTGAAGATTCAAAGGAAGTGTAAGTTCGTCTCTTGTGGTTTTAAGAGAGGTGGTATCATCCTTTGTGAAGATTCAAAGGAAGTGTAAGTTCATCTTTTGTGGTTTCAAGAGAGGTGGTATTTCTAAACTCTTACAAATTGTTTTTCTTTGTGACTAATATTTGTAAGTGTTTTGTGTTAGTGAAAAAGGTTTATCTTGTTTGAGATAAGCGACTGGACGTAGGAGGATCCTAGTGATCTGAACCAGGATAAAATCACCTGTGTAATTTTTCTCTTTCCCTTACTCTGTCATTTATATTTAATCATTCGCCCAGTAAGAAAAATTAAGAGAAAAATAATAAAAGACACAATAAAAGTGTATAACCAATTCACCCCCCCTCTTGGTTTGTTCCACGCTAATAATTCCGTTGCAGCGATTCTAACACGGGAATCAATCCTTCTTTCCTAAACCAAGTATGTAAACTTCAACGATCAATTTATGGATTGAAGCAAGCCAGCCGCCAGTGGTTTGCGAAACTTTCTTCTTTTCTTCTTCAGCATGGATATAAACAATCAGCTTCGGATCATTCTTTATTTTTGAAGATTTCTGAATCTTCCACTATAGCTATTCTTGTGTATGTTGATGATATCGTCCTTGCCGGCAACAATATTGCAGAGATTGAATCTGTTACAACACTCCTTGATCATGAATTTAAAATCAAAAACCTTGGCAATCTTCGTTACTTTTTGGGTCTAGAAGTTGCTCGCAACAACACTGGAATTCATCTCTCTCAACGGAAGTACACTCTCGACATTTTGACAGAGTGTGGTATGTTGGCTTCTCGTCCTGTTGCCACGCCAATGGATTACACTGCTAAACTTTCCACCTCATATAGCACACCACTTCCTGATTCTTCATCCTATCGTCGTCTTCTTGGGAAATTAATTTATTTAACTACCACTCGCCCTGACATCTCCTATGATGTCCATCACCTCAGCCAATTCATGTCAGCTCCTACATCAACACATTCTCAAGCAACTTTTTGTATTTTACGATATATAAAGCAAGCCCCTGGTTTCGGTCTGTTTTTTGCAACTAAGAGTTCTCTCCAATTGAAGGCGTTTAGTGACTCTGACTGGGCAGGTTGTCTCGACACTCACCGTTCTGTTACAGGTTTTTTTGTGTATCTTGGAGATTCACTTGTTTCATGGCGTTCTAAAAAGCAACCTACAGTTTCTCGCAGCTCCTCAGAGGCTGAATATCATGCTCTTGCTGCCACCACATGTGAAATTCAATGGTTGACTTATCTGCTCACAGATTTACACATTTCTTTCAAGCAACCAACTCTTCTCTATTGTGATAATCACTCTGCCCTCCAAATTGCAGCCAATCAAGTGTTCCATGAGCGCACCAAACACATAGACATTGACTGCCACTTAGTCCGTGAAAAAGTTCAATCTGGATTGGTGAAACTACTACCTGTGTCTTCTTCTCAGCAGCTTGCAGATATCTTCACCAAGTCTTTGTCTCCTTCTCTGTTTTCCACTCTTCGTACCAAGCTGGGAATGTTCAATCTTTATTCCCAGCTTGAGGGANCAGCTCCTCAGAGGCTGAATATCATGCTCTTGCTGCCACCACATGTGAAATTCAATGGTTGACTTATCTGCTCACAGATTTACACATTTCTTTCAAGCAACCAACTCTTCTCTATTGTGATAATCACTCTGCCCTCCAAATTGCAGCCAATCAAGTGTCCCATGAGCGCACTAAACACATAGACATTGACTGCCACTTAGTCCGTGAAAAAGTTCAATCTGGATTGGTGAAACTACTACCTGTGTCTTCTTCTCAGCAGCTTGCAGATATCTTCACCAAGTCTTTGTCTCCTTCTCTGTTTTCCACTCTTCGTACCAAGCTGGGAATGTTCAATCTTTATTCCCAGCTTGAGGGAGGGTCTTAATCATAATTAGTCTTTGGATTAGTTTTGCCTCACCGTTGTTACGGAAGCTTCTAGTGCTTCTCTAATATTTTACTTTTCTCTCTCTTCTTCTATTGTATAAATACACACGTTCCTCATTCAATAAGAATTACAGTACAGTGCAGTGCGTTGCATGCCTGCAATACGTGTCATTCTGTTATGATTTCTCTGATATTTGTCATATATCTCGAGCATGAGACTAGACACTAATGGATGGTTCGATAGTGGTCCGATAACGGGTGGAACAATGTCCACACAAATCTTACTAGGATAGGCTCTAACTTGATATCATGTTAAGAAGTGGATAAAGTTCCTTTCTTAGAAATCTGGTTGATTTGTATAATTGCATATGTCCTCATTCCCTTACATATGGTCGCACCCTTCTTTCTATGGTGTCCCTTCATCTTTTGCTGTATCTATTAACAAGTTTGTGATAGATTTTTGTGCCTGCTTAATTTGTCCCTTCACTTTGTCCTATATCTATATTGCTAATAGTAAACACTTTTTTCACTATTTCGATAACCTATTTTCTCTCTTCCATCTCCGATACTAATTTGTCAACCACCAAATCCATGCATAGATCTTCATATCAATCATGTATAATAATTAGCCCCATATAAACTTATGTATGTATATATTCTAATCTACTACCTTGCTTAACTACTGTTATGGATTACCAATGTTTTTCACCAATATTTTAGTCACCAGGAAAAACTATGTTTGAACATTAACTCCCAACCAAATTAAACCACCATGTCACAGAGTTGAATATTTTTCCGTCAAAAAGGAACTTACAAAATTTCTCATTACAAATTCAAATTAAGCTCACTTATAGTTTAGAATTTAAATTGTTCATTTTTAATGTGGTGGTTTTGTTTTTAGTATGATTATGGCTTGGGACTGGTATTTGGTTTAAGATTTATGTTTTAACATTTTGTTCTATCTCTGCACGTGGTTTCTCCAGCATGGTTTTGTTAGAATATCTTGCCATATTTTAGAGCTCAGTGTTGGATGAGATCAGGTCGAACAATCATGAAGTTACTTTGGAAATCAGCTTAGTGGCAAACGTGGAGCTCGAGGAGCAGTAGAGAGTGGGGAAAATGGAATTGTCATTAAAAGTGATACAAGAGGCCGTAGAGAAGAAACTTAAAGAGAAATATAAGGAGATTTAGTGTCTAGCAAAGGTAATTTGGATTCTTCTAGAAAAAGTGAAAATTCTCAACGTGGAGAACCAAATATGGAAGGAGTTGGCACAGATTAGTCTGGAAGAGGAGCTTGCTCATGTTAGTAAGGTGTGTGTAGATAATCAGAATAGAAAAGAGATGAAGATGTAGAGAGAAATTTGGTTACTGAGAAGTCGGCCAAATTAAATAAGACGTTGGTGAAGATAGAGAACGACCAAAACGAAAGTAAAGAACTTAAGCAAATTCGGTCCACAATGAAAATAAATTATGAAAGGAGTAAGCTCTCGGCAAGGGATTAAGCATGAAAAAAATTTAAGTTTAGGAAAAGCTTTTGTTGGATAAACTTAAATTAAAAGGGTTTTAGTTGTAATTTCGTTTGAGTCTACATTTTTGTTATTTATGTTGTCTTTTTGATTTAGTTCTCGTGGTCTGGTACTGTTACTGTTTTTATACCTGACCAACTACTATTTAAATCGCCTACGACATTCAATTTAATGACAACAGCCAATTACAATGCAATTAACAAACAGTGTGGCGCGTTTATATTTCACATGCTCTGATACCATGTTAGAAGTGGACTTGAGGCCTAACTCATCCCCACAAAATCGGCTTCTAAGGTGAGGTTTACACCTCACTTATATATTATAAATTGGCCTTATCTCTAGTCGATGTGGGACTTCCATCATTAAATTTATATAAATTGTTCAAATTCTTGTCGTGATGTTCTTGTGTTAGTCTATGTTTCTGAATACTTTACTTCACACAAATCTTACACAAAAAAACATGTTTCATCGTATTTTTTAGGGAATACATAAAAAAGTATAAATAAAGAAATAAAGAAATAATTTAGCAATGATCCAAATCTTTTATTCGTAGTAAGTTTCATACCTTATCTATTTCAAAGTCAAACAATTGATTCACTCCATTAACGTAAAGATCCATGAACAAGTGAGGAAGCACAGCCTGAAACAACTCAAAAGAATGCATTATTGAGGTTAAAAGGGTAGTTTTGAATTGTCTATTTAAAAGAACGACATATTTGGAGGGTCACCTGTAACAAACCAATAAAAAACAATGGAGATATATCTGATAGTTTTTCTACTGCAATGAGAGATGCAGAAATTGCCGCTGATGTCTGTAAAATATAAATAAAGATAATTTAAAACAATAAATTTAAGAAGTAAATTTCAAATCTAATTCAATTTTACAAAATTAAATTATAAAATAAAGATTGCATAAATTGACTTTTTCTACTCAGTCTACTAACTCAAGTTTAGGTATATAAATCTGGAATATAGGATTAAACATTGATGGATGGACCATGATAGTATGATGACGAGTGTAACAATTTTTACAAAATTTTACTAAGACAATTTAAATCATGGTTAAGATATTATATTAAGAAATCGAGTTTAAGATTAATTCAATATGACAAAACCGACTTTTAAAATTAACTTTGCATTTATTTATATTCTAAAATATCTTATCTGTTTAGTTTTCCAACTAACAGTATTAATTATGCAAATGAGAATTTAATGAAAAGGAAAAACTTGTTATTAACCATAACTTTTGAATATTAATTACGAGAGATGGAAAGTTTGCACTTACTCGAGCATACACTGTGTAAGGGTAAATAAATTGGTATAAAACGAGCATGAAATCTTTGACAGAATTAACAATGTTTTTGGAGTTGGAAGCTTCAGATTCTGACTCAGAAGATGGTACAGTGACGGCTTTTACAACATAACTTTTGTTGCTATCTTCATGTGTTGCTCCTTTTTCAATGCTTTTGTAATAATGATTAAAAGGTGATTGTTGAGACCTCAAAGGATTATACTGTATTTGAGCTTTTATATTGTGCTTAGAAGCTTTTGATCCACCAGAACCTAATGTAACAAGTGTTAAAGTTGTAGCGTGCACAAAAGAAAGGTATATTTAAAATTAATGAAACTAAACATGGCAAGATGATAAATTGAGAGAATGATAAATTTGAAAATTGAAATAAGAAAAATCAAATAACTGTAGTTTTTTCGGAGAAAACCTTTAAAAAGAGAATTATATGACAAGATTTTGGTTTCAAAAAGAGTCAAATTCAATAGTCACTTACAAGAAAAAATGGATTATAATAATGTATAATATTTATCAAACACAACTTTAATTGATTTTCAAACTTAATATTTCTTTGACGTGGTCTTCTATATAGGTATTTTATAAGGGGATTTGATTGGCAAAATTTAATTCTAGTAAATTCTTACTTCAATTCATTTCTTTCAATCTAAAATTTTAAAGTTTTATTAGTTTTTATTCTTATAAGAAGTTAAACTATTTTATCTTTATCTAACTTAAAACTTAAACTCATAATTATATTCACAATACATACATACATATATATATATATATATACTAATATATATATATATATATACTATAATATAAATATTTAAGTTTTTTTTTCTAAACTCAAATTAGTTTATATGTAAGGTAATTTATAAACTATCTTTCATTATTTTATTTCTTTAAAACTAATTTTAATTCATATATAAATTATGCAAAAGTTATTGCACCTTTAGGTTCATTTTATTCTCCTTATAAATATTTGAAAAAATGCCTTTATCAATTTTTAAAATATTTCTTTTATATTATAAGAAAGGAAGACATTATATTCTTTTACAAAATGAATGAGTTTTTATTTTCAAAACAAAAATATAGCATCACCGGTCCCTATCACTCCTACTTATGGTTAGAAGCTGAAAAGTCAAATTGACGTAGCTTTGCAATTAATATGTTTAAATTGTTAATTTTAAATTTTGAAATAAAACATAACAAATAAATAAATTAAATGTACACTTATATATTCATAAGAATTTATTTATTAATTTGTATAAACTTTTAAGTAAAGATATTATTATTATTTATTACTCAAGTAAATACATTGCTCTCTGTCCCTATAATTTTTAAATTTTTTATTTTATTTTAAGTTATAATAATATATGTAAATTAGTTAAGTAACTTAATATTAGAAGTAGAAATTACAAATATAATAAAGAAATAAACATATAATTGTGATAACTTTATAAACAATATTTCAAACTAACAGTTATTTAAAAAATATTAATTAAAAATTATATAACAAACTGTTATAAAAATCAAGTTTCTTTGCATACATATACAGATATATACTACGAGAAAATAGGTATTTAGATTTGGTAGAAAAACTGATACAAGAAAAAATTGCTAAATAGACATTATTAGAAGAGTGTAAATGAAGAAAATAAATGTAGATAAGTATGAATGAATAAGACGATAAGCAAAATGTAGACTAAAAAGATGTGGGAAAAAATATAGATGAATGATATGTACGTAGATGAAATGGATGAATATAGATGAAGAAGATAAATGTGAACTAATAAAATAAGTGTTGATGAAAAAATGTGGGTGTGATGACATTTACGAATCAGAATGGAAAAGATGAGTCTCGTAATAATTGTATAGAAAATGAAAGAATAACACACATAAATTAATAATAAATATATTAATATTAGCTAAGTAAATACAAATTATAAAAATAAACTAAAATAAATATGAAATATAAATAAGATTAATATAATATTTATATGCTAAACTTATTTTTAAATATTTATATTTATTTAATTCAATACCACTAGATACTAACTATAAAACTATAAAAAGAAACAAAAGTAAATAAACTTAACATTTGCTAAGCTGACTCTAAAATTATTTAATTTTAATATTTATTTTATTTAGTATAGTCTATACCAACACAAAAAACTTTTAATAAAAAAATTATAAATAAATTTATGCTTTTCCATTATTTTAAAGTTAATGTTGTGTCATATTACATTAAATGCTAAATTTATGTTTTCTTATATATATATTAATTATGTAGTGAAGGGTGATAATTAAAGCTGATTCCACCACCTAATAGATGAAAAAAAAGATTTTAGTGTGAGATACTAAGAAATATAGTTTAGATGAAGGAATAGGGTATAACTGAAGAGACATACTTGCACAGGAGATGCTCTTGAAGGATGGTTTCCGGACCCAAAAATGACCTACAATTACCATGCTTTCACATATTACTCAACAAATAACTTAGTAATGAAAAATGAACAAAATTAGAAGATAGTGAATATAGGTACCATTTGTCACTGAACAGACGATAGGAGAAGATATAAGATGTGCCCTAGCCATGGAAACTCACCACACTTAGTACACTACACTCTTGTAGATACCTTTTACAAGAGAAGAGAGAAATGGGATATTTTATAGGCAAAAAGACTCCATGAAATTTTACTCTTCTTAGGGCGAGATCAAATTTCAATGGTGCGCAGAAAGTCATACACAACGCACATAGTCAATATTTTGTAGGAGAAGAATCGCAAAATAATCAAACCTAACACACATGTGTAAGAAACATTTAAAAGACTTCTACATGATTTAGTATTTTGGATTTTAATAACCAGTATAACGTAAAAGTCTAAACGGTTTGGAAAGACTTTGTCAATTACATACATTTTTATAATGTATGTTCAAAGCTAAAAAATATCCATTAATGATAGATAGGATATTATAAGGTTGGAAAAAAGAAAAAAAAAANTATATTTATTTAATTCAATACCACTAGATACTAACTATAAAACTATAAAAAGAAACAAAAGTAAATAAACTTAACATTTGCTAAGCTGACTCTAAAATTATTTAATTTTAATATTTATTTTATTTAGTATAGTCTATACCAACACAAAAAACTTTTAATAAAAAAATTATAAATAAATTTATGCTTTTCCATTATTTTAAAGTTAATGTTGTGTCATATTACATTAAATGCTAAATTTATGTTTTCTTATATATATATTAATTATGTAGTGAAGGGTGATAATTAAAGCTGATTCCACCACCTAATAGATGAAAAAAAAGATTTTAGTGTGAGATACTAAGAAATATAGTTTAGATGAAGGAATAGGGTATAACTGAAGAGACATACTTGCACAGGAGATGCTCTTGAAGGATGGTTTCCGGACCCAAAAATGACCTACAATTACCATGCTTTCACATATTACTCAACAAATAACTTAGTAATGAAAAATGAACAAAATTAGAAGATAGTGAATATAGGTACCATTTGTCACTGAACAGACGATAGGAGAAGATATAAGATGTGCCCTAGCCATGGAAACTCACCACACTTAGTACACTACACTCTTGTAGATACCTTTTACAAGAGAAGAGAGAAATGGGATATTTTATAGGCAAAAAGACTCCATGAAATTTTACTCTTCTTAGGGCGAGATCAAATTTCAATGGTGCGCAGAAAGTCATACACAACGCACATAGTCAATATTTTGTAGGAGAAGAATCGCAAAATAATCAAACCTAACACACATGTGTAAGAAACATTTAAAAGACTTCTACATGATTTAGTATTTTGGATTTTAATAACCAGTATAACGTAAAAGTCTAAACGGTTTGGAAAGACTTTGTCAATTACATACATTTTTATAATGTATGTTCAAAGCTAAAAAATATCCATTAATGATAGATAGGATATTATAAGGTTGGAAAAAAGAAAAAAAAAAGTTTAAACCTTCGGATGAATCTCAAGTGGGTATTCATAGTTGTAACTGTCTTAATTGGGTCATAATATTTGTAAAATTGAGCCAATTTTGCCCTATTCGTTAAGTTATCACAGACGTCGTTAGTTGGTGCTGACGTGGTGCATGGTGATGTAAAATTGTTTTATTATGTGGAAATTTTTTTAAAATTAAGAGTTTTTGATGTGGAAAAATTTATTCGAACCAAGGAATTTGTTTCCAGATCTCGTCAGACTCCCTCCACCCACCCACTCCACTCGGCTCACTCTTCCATGGACCTCGTCGCCGATCGTCGACCGCTGGTCACGGAGCTCTCATGGCCACCAATCTAGATCGTGTTGGTGCTTAGTGATGGAGATGGTGGTTCTATGATTCCCCATATTTCTCGCATGTGCAGTTGAAGTAAGTGACGAAGGCGGTGGTGGAAGAGGAGGGAGGGAAGAAGTTGAAGTGGGTTTAAGAGCTCCGTGTCTAAACTTGTGTAAAATGGTTCTTCATGTTGTCGTTGTTGACGATGTAGATATCGGAGAGGATGAGGTTGCTACAAATTCCTGTGAGGATCAATGTTGATTAATGACTATTGGAAATTAAAAAATTAAAATTATATGTTATGCTATTTTTTAGGAAAATAAAAGTCATGTTGACTAGTAGAATTTATTTGCTATTTTCTAGGCACTAAGAGCACTAGTTTGTTAGTGGTTATAAAGGCCAACATTTTCATACATTTACGTTCACTTATTTGCTTTATAAAAGCAATTGTACTCCAAAAAATAACATATTAAGTAGTTTTATATTCCTCTGTTCCATTCTCTCAGTTTTCTCTGTTCCACTCTCTCAACCTTTCCTTCAGATGTGGATGATGAACCTGTCAGAGGAACAAGATTGCTTTCTGACATCTATCAAAGGTGTAATGTTGCTGTCATGGAACCTGGTGGATATGAA